CAAAACCTCGGTAGAGAGCTCATTCTTCCTGAGCCTTAGATAATACAGGTGAACAAAATCTGTTTACTTATGTCTATCAGCTTCATAGTACCCACAGTATGAACTTTCCTTGGTTTCGTACTAGAATGCTACTGATGCACTGCCATGTGATATATATATTACCAATATTTTATTTTTAACAAAATAAATATTAACACAGGTCAACGACGTTTACGTACATACTCCCTTTTACCAAATATTCATAAAAACTTAAACAAACCTATTTTAACTATTAGAGTATTTTGTTATCGTTTTTTAAACTGAGTAATTAGTATAAAAAAGGACAAAATATTTCAATAGCTATTAGCTAAGGGGTTTGATGTTTTTATAAATAAGGGGATAACTCCATCACCATTAGGTAGCTATGTAATCAGCTATTTTTTAAATGAATATTATTTTATTTTACATTTTAGTCAAGCAAATTTAGATATTTTTTCATAACACATATGGGCTATTTATAATTGTGATTAACATGAAGAAATGGCCAATGCTAAAAATATCTAAGTAGTTGCAGCTACTATAGACGAGAAAAATTTGTAGAGCACTAATGAGGTCAGCGAGCCGAGTTTTTGGCGGGAAATTATTAAGTATTAACGGTTGTTTATTTTAATTTTTGTTAAAGAATGTGTACAATCATTAGAAAAGTAAGTTTAATACTGACAACCGAGAAATGCATGCGATGCCACGGTGACGGAATTTAACAAAAAAAAAATTATTCATCCATTCACAACACCGCTATTTATTTATTAACAAATCAATTAAATAAATCAAGTAATCCTTCGAGATCATTGTTTAGATTTTATTGATGTAACTGCATAAATTGCCTTCATCTATTTCTAGTTAGAAACAGAGCGCATCAGTGTAATGCACTGTACCAATATTCCATTGAAAATAACAAAAATGCGACAAAATTGTTACAGAAATGTATACGTTCAGTAGACTTGACGAGCTGTAACTTCGAAAATGAAGAAAAATATTTCACTTTATATTTGTCTTGATAATACATTTTATAATATAGTTTAGATATTGCTCCTTATACAAAAGACGTATCAATCGATCGTATCGATTTATGCACGTTTTGTATCTTACGAAATACTTCTATGCCCATATATTTAATGCAATTGCAATACCTGCGTCGCTCGTGCGTGAATCACGTTCATTACGCTACGCCGGTACCTTGACCGCTCATACAACACTTGTTCTGCACGCGAACCCTCCATCCCGTAAATAAAAGAGGATAATATCACGATGGCTTAAAAAGACATTACGGAATGGGCATTTGAAGGCAAGGAGTTGTTTAATACAACAAGTATTTAACATTAAGTATTTCACACTAGCTTATGCTCGCAATAGTGTACGCGTGGATTTTTTGAGTTCGTAACTTATTTTAAATAATATGTCATATATACCTAGATTAAATATACACTAGATATGAAATTAAACCTTCAAGAAAAAATTATATATATATATATATATATATATATATATATATATATATATATATATATATATATATATATATATATATATATATATATATATATATATATATATATATATATATATATATATATATATATAATATATATATATATATATATATTAGTAAGATTTATTACAGATATAGATATTATAAATATAGATATTAGTACAAATTTGTACTCACATTTTAAACTATACTACAGTGACATCCCTTATCCATAGTTCTATCCGTTGGACGTAAGATGACCATCAATTTGTCTACACGTTCTACTTCGGAATTTGTGTGTCCTTAGTCCCAGCGCAAAACGTTCGTTGAATATAGATTAAAAAGTATATGATAATACTGCTTTAGGCCACACTATAAAAATGTTTTCCTCTTGTACAATTAAACTGCAGTACTCCACGATCTGTTGCTTTCTACCATAGAGTAGATAAACACATTTTTAAAATAATAATATTTTTAATTTTATTTTGCGTTTATTGTATTATAATGCCAAGTATAACTTGTAATTTCTATAATGTTGATAACAATTACTATCATTAAAATGTAGTTTTCATTCATAATTATAATCTATGCAATGTGATATTAAATCGTCTTACGAATTGAGGAATTGAAACTCTTTAAAAATGTCAACAAGAAAACAGACTTCGGTGTTGCCAACTTTTTAATTAGATTAACTCGTTTGATGGGCGGCAAACGTGCACGCTAGACACGCGTTATTTCATGAAATGTACACTTGTCATTATCATGTTTTTTTCATGCATTCCTTCTAATTAATGAAGAATGAATGCCTTGCTGAAAAGAAAGATTGTAAATATTAGATCTGGGGCAAACGTATAATAATGCTTTATTTATTTTAAAATATGTGTCAATTATATAAAAAAATGGTATTACTAGAACGGAATTATCTAATATTTTAGACAATATTAGATAATACACATACCGAGTTCAGTATGACTTTTTGAATTCTGTGTAATTGGAGTTAATTAATCCACGTAGTTTTCGATTACTGCAAGCCTTTCGTTTGATTATAATAACAGTTATTTAGCAAATCGAATGTGTTTAAATTTTCTCTAAATCAGAGAAATAATTATTGTTATGAGAATCCAATGAAATGACTAAGAAATCACCCAAATCGTAAAGGGAATGTAATGTAAACAGATACTAGCCAACTATACATATGCTCACGTATTGTACAGATTATTTTGTATCAGTAAGATTAATTTATTAGTCACGTCATTATTTGCTAAGTAAAAGATAGAGATTTTTGCTATAAAAGACAGATAGGTCGCTATATTATTCTCAGAATACCCAAATTAATTGAAAATCCTATTGTCTACAAAAACGCAATTTCACAAAAGAAATCCCACATGTAACTACTGACTATGAATAGCTAACTAGACCGAATGATGTCTGAAAAGTTCTGTATTTAAAACCACATTTTTAGTCTTAATACCTATAGCAGATAGTTTCTATTCCATTAATTATTATATTTTTATCTTGTGTGTCTCGAAAATGCTGGTTATCTGATACCATTGTCAAGTAACTGATGTCGTTACACTTTTATAATAAATTTAGTTGTTGACAAATAAAATCTATGTGATCGGCAAAGTTTGTTCGTAGACAGCCCGCATAATACTTAGTTGTCTTTTTACGATGAACTTCTACTTCAACACATGAGAAAACTTTAAGTGTTTCAAAATTTATTATACTGTTTTGTTTTAATATTAAATATAGCATTTTTTCAATCTACTTTAAAAAGCATATTTAAATTCGACTGAAGTTTTATACTTATATTTGATAATTCTATTTGTAATCTATGAATCGGTGAGCTTTACTTTAGTTTATCTTCTATACTAATTTTATCTTTTAAATTTTTTAAAACAAATTTCAAAATATTATAAAACTTATTTTAATCGTTATATATTCGAAAACTGTAGATTCGGAAAATGGTGTCAGTAAATAAAAATAACAATCGCAATCAAATTCACTAATAAAACTAACTTGTAAACATATCGAGAGAGACCAGACGTTTGTTAAATCAATTGGTCAGTATATAAATCTTTCACAAGGAATCTAGAAGCAAATCAGCAATTAAAGTTTGTACAGTGAGATTTAAAACGGATCTATTTTGAGAGACGACCCTGAGTCTTGTATGTCTGATCACTATCACCAACTAAGTTGGGATCACTCTTTCTTGCTTAGCAAAGTGATACGACTACTTACCTCTGACAGACGGAAACTTATTAACCATAATCTTAGAAAGAAAATAAATTTACTTTCTCCTGATTTCGTGAAACTGAGCATCGTTTTTTTTTCCCATGGTCTTATCTGATCTGGGTAACTTTATACTATTAATGTGTCTTTATTGAATTTATACAACTAATTTGAAAATAGTAATACAATTGTAATTTTAAAAAGTAAATAGTTATGTTAAAAGTATTAAGTATAAAATTATAACTTGAATTAAGTATAATTATTCACAGTCACAGAATGCCATTTGTTATAACAAATGACATTCTGTGACCGCTTCCAATCTCAAAATAAAAAAAAAAAGTATTTTTAATAATATTTAATATTTTTATAGGTAAATTATTTTATAGAAAAATAGTAGATAGGTACGTGACATATCGTATTTGTTTTTTTGTATTTGACTTGAAAATACCTTTACAAACTTTCACATTTTATAATATTTTGTAGAAAATAAAATAAAAATCATATTCTATTGTATTACATTTAACCATTTTTCAAAATTGAACCCGATTAAATTTTTTTTCAATCACAATAATATCATAATAATATAATACCTGTTGACATTACGTTTGGATCCCTACGAGTAACTCGCTTCAATTCAAAGGAATTACTTCTGCTTCATTTGCACAAATATTTAACATCGGCAAATCTCTGTGGATATACGTGTGAGCTCGCAGTTTACAGCTAACATTATCCGAAATCTTCTTATTTGCATAACGTTGTATCTCTTGAATATTTCATACAAATCTAAATTAACTTTTCTCAATTTTTAATTAATCAAACGTAAAACACAGTTTAGTTCACTTAAGGTAATATTTATAATTTTAAAATATAGTTGTCATTAATACAATAGCGTACAACTATCCCAAAATTTTAAGATATTTATTATTAGCTATATGTGGCTCTTATTGCGTAGACAAACTAATGTGTCTATGATTCGACGAGCTCTGTTTACGTATTCGTTCGCATGACCGGAATAAAAAGTAGCCTATGTCCTTCTTCACACCAAATATTAATATACGCCAAATTTTACGAGGATTAGTAAACCTGTCAAATAATCAAGACAGATTCGCAATATTATTGTATTATAGATTATATACTTCAGATTTTCCTCGACTTAGATTCAAACAGTTGAGTTAGAATCCAAATTAAATTGGAACGGAAATAGAGAAATATTATTATAATCGTGTATGCTGGCTGTAACATTTTTTATTTTTAATTACAGGTAAAGGCGAGTGAATTTAAAGATATGTGAACAATTTTCAAACGCATGTATTTAAAAATGAGACCAGCAAAGAATGACAATGACGCTCCGCCGGTGTGACAGCTTACCCACGCGACTCAGAGAAGCACCTGTTCCGGCAGAGAGCAACACTCGAACACAGCCTCCGAAAATACCTGACTCTGTCACAGTTCCAAATTTCAACGAACCTTCTAACCGCGACCAAGTTGTAGCCACTTGGAAGTCTCTTCATACAGACATCAAGAAAATAAAAAATGGTTTTCCTACTAGAAATGAACCAGCGAACCGTGGAGCCAACAGAAAAGAGTCCATTACGCACAATTACATTCCCGCTTTTGCATACAAAAAGAGCGTGCGGAGGAAAATCACTTATGATAATCGGCAAGTCGGGGTCAGTTCACAGGAGGTCGATCGTAGCTCCTCATTTCCTCTGGACACGGGCCAAGCGAATATTGAGTGCGGAACCAGAATGGTGCGAAGAAGAACATTATTGCAACGTTTACTACCATGGAAAACTCAAGAGTGCGATTGTCAAGAACGTTATATGCCGAAATATCGACCAGTACCTAGACTACGCGCCGAAGATTTACTATGTACATGCGGTGCTAGTGCTAATAGACTCCAACCTTCGGACAGCAGTAAAAAGTATGGAGAACGCGGTCGCTCTAAAAGTGTAGGCTATGAGGCAGCAAGAGAAGTGACTCAGTTCCGCCGGTTAGTGAAGTGTATCACGTAAGAGATGTGTTTATAAATTGAACTTTTCTATTGAAACGTATTATACACGATCAATAGATGAGTTCTTTTTATAATTAGTGGGTATTTAAGTATAGTGTGTGATGTGATAGGTGTGCAAGTGCTGGTGCCACGGTGGGTGCGGAGACGGCGGCGGCTTTGCGCGCCCGCGCCGCTCTGACCTTAGCTCGCCGGTACTACCCTGAGGGTGGATGGGGGTGGACTATCACAGTCGTCGGAACCATCGTTCAAGTGTTATCACACGGCCTACAACTCGGCGGTGGCACAGGTGCCATAGCGTGCACAGCCGCTGTTAAATATCGAGTGCCGCCTCTTTATACACACGGTAAGTGCAAATTATATTCTTTTATGAACAAATCTAAAAATACAAGCTCCGTAACGATTTAATACTTATTTATAGACTTCGCATGAGGCTTAAAATAGTTCTGAATAATAAATATTAATTGCGTACCAAACAGAGTATCTACTTATGACGAATATGATTACACCTTATGCTGTTTCATATTATACAATTCATACCTACCATGCAAATTCTGAAACGAGTGACATTTATTTAATAGAACTCTACGTCGCGTTGAATGTTGATAATTATAACAGTTTATTGAGTAAATAAGCAAAGACACAAATTAGGAATGACATCAATTAACTATAATCAGAACTTACTGTTTTGATTATAGTTTATAGAGTATCAGTATTCTTATGTTATCCAAATCATAAAAGTTATTATATGTATATAATTATAATATTCATTTAAACTTTATTATACCACTTGAAGTACAAAATATAGTGTTATCAATTATTCATTTCTTTCATGAAGTTTACGCTGATTTCCATACCCACTTTCTAAGTATAATCGTAACATGATAATCAAATTATAATAGTCAAGAGTACGTGCTTTAGTTTCATGGTGATATGTTATTTTTTGGAGCGAAATTAAAGATATTTATGCGGAAGACTTGTGGTTTAAGGAAGATGGTGCAAGTAGTCGCAACTTGCCTTATATCCGATATAACGTTAGATTGTTTAGCGATAAAAGTTCAGAGGACGCAATATATCATGTTACAGCGACGTCAACTGGCCGCGAAGATCGTGTGATTTAACGCCGTTGGATTTTTTGTGGAGTTTTCTTAAGAGCTATGTTTATGTCAACGAAACTGTAAATATTATAATAAAAATTAAAAACAGCTACAATACAGCCTAACACGATCGTATCACTGATACTTACAAAAAATAATAGAAAGCTGCACAAAAAAAAACAGCTTAAACAATCAAAAAATTTAAATTTATTAAATAAAGTATCAATAAATAATTTTATACGAAAGTAAATTAAATAAGACAATTCTTTCAAAAATGAGAATTCGTATTACGTGATAATATTTTAAAAATTCACTAAAGATTATTATACGTCAAAAATATCTTAAAACAAGGATAAGTTAATAGCCAACAGTAGTAGTAATAAAAATTGCACTATAAAATATTTACAAAAATAAAGGTTGTATCTAGTTTATCTTGATCTATGTATTTTTCTCTGAATTATCTATATCCAATTTTATTGTTTATTGTTTGTCTAACAGAGTTTGATAAAATTTTAGGTAACGTATAATATAAGTCACTGTACAGTGGCAAATAAAGAAAATCAAGTTAGAAATGAAATTAACTTCATTTTCTAAAGTTGCTTATGTGACACTGAACATACGAGTGCAAAAGTATATAATTACAGGAAATAACTTTACTAGAGGGTGCGCGTGAATCCACATAAATGCTGCCACGCGTACGTATGATTTATTACAGCCTCGTGTTTCCGATGTATCTGGTGTATCTATAAAACAAATTTGGTGAGCATGTTGCTACAAATGGCGCAGACTTCTCTATCCAATACCGCAGATTGTCTACGACGGAACATCGCGTAATATTCAGAAGGCAACACCTATAATATGAGAGGCATCAAAGATATAAATCAGTATCTAAGTATAAAAAGAATGTCATCGTATTCCATACCAATATTAAAAACGTGATGCGACGACTTGATTTTGCGTATATAGTATTATAAATGTAGATATAAGTTTCGATTCCTATAAGAGAATATCGACTTCTGTCATAGTAAGTTAATATAGGACTAACATGGACACAAATCCTAAGTATCTCTTGTAGAAATGATTATCAATATTGATATTAGATTAACGTTGCCATCACGTAACATATGAGTAAGAAATAATATACTATAACAAACATCAAACAAAAATATACCAACAATATGTTTACCAAAACAATGGATCATCATCATATCAGCTGTTGACTGTTCACTGCCGAAAATAGGTGTCCCTTTACTGCAGGGGTTTTTTTTTGTTTTTTGATGGGTGAAAATGGTATGGTAACCCCGCCTGCGCTAACGGGATACGCTGGCGGAGCACCAGTGAAGGGTGATAGATGAGAATGAAAACAGGCCAGTTAGCCCATCATGATGAATTCATCAGGAATTAACCATGATAGTTTCCAGGGGGAACCGCGTGGAGGTCGACCTGGTTGGGTATATTGCTAGCAATGGGATTCTCAGTCTCCATTACTAACAATCCCTTCCCCCCCTACTGCAGGGGGTTTGCCAGTAGTCGCCATGCTTAACAAGCGAATTGGCAACCGCAGTTAGGCATTGGCGATGTGTGTGGCGCGAGACGCTATTGCCTATCTCTCGATCATTAAGTTCCCTTAGTCGCCTAATTCGACACTCACAAGTATGAAGGGATAGCCTTCATGATGAACATCTTTATAGTATGTAAGTATTCGCTTGCGAGAGAAGAAAATGAGAACGATTTCAAACTTCGAATTTCTTGCAAATTGGTTTCGCTCACAAATATATACATATATAAACTCAATTGTTCTTCAGGCAAGTGGACCGAGCGCCGCCGTGTCCATTTTTATCTATAAATATGTTTGGCAAAACAGCGACTTAAATTTTATTGTTCAAACTAATGGCTTTGACTTGCTCCTATTATAACAAAAAATATATCGTTATAAATAAACTTCTGTTAACTGAACTTGTTAGTTTTATCTAATTAACAGTTGACACAAAAGTGTACCTATAGTGCATTTTGTTGTTACTGCCCTACCTAACTGTAACTACTGTCTATAAAAACAAAACAAACTTTGTAAAAGTTATTTCTACATTTACTGTGCTAACGACTTATAGGTATGTGTATTGAAAAAAGAAAAAATAATTATTGTGAATCTAAAAACAGATATGTTTTATATAATAATTTATTTATACCAACCGTTAGTTCTAAAATCTCTAACATCATTTTCATGTATATTTTCTTGTTAAATACAGTTTTTAAACAAACACTTCTAAAAAATACCTTTCATCATACATTTCAGTAGAATAATATTTACTTTGTTTTTTATTAAAAATTATAGTTAAAAAGTACTTATATTATTTCAGTATTTCAACTAATTGACAGTGAGTTGATGATCCTTGTACCGTGTACGAGTATTCTGTCAATATGCCAATAACATTTAGTGCCGGTTATCGCTAAATATTTAATTATAAACAGCACTGCAGTAATTAAAAATATACTTAAGTAAAACTTAAATTGTACAATACAATTTCTATACTTAAATTTTTTTATACATAAAAGGTACATAAGGGAATAACTTTGTACGGCCATCGTTACTTTTAATGTAACTTTATAGTGCAGTACCGCTCGAATTTTAATTAAACATTTATGATTGATAACTTTTGTTACAAGTAATATCAGAGCTGAGTAATTGAGTTTTAAATTTAACAAATTTATTTATAGATATTTGTATAATTTTAACTATTTCAGCTGCAATATTGCTGGATACAATAAGATTTATTTCTTTTAAACTGAATAAAAATATACTGTTCTCTCTTTAACTCACGCTATTTATATTATTATATGTTTTAAAAGGGTTTAACCCTTACATTTATTTATTTTAATTATAGTCGAACTTATTACATTTTTATAGATTTTTTTATTAGATCAAGAATAGGGGTACTATTCGAAATAAACGATAAAATTAACAGTTAAGTAGAGCCTAATTAACTTAGCATAAATTTCAATTCCTGATCCTTCCACATTTTTATTTTAACAATACTTAATGGAGAAGGAGGTATATTATCAATAACAAAATACTATAACATCATGTAGTTTAGTATTGACATAACTACCAATAAAAAAGAGGAACTTGCAGTGTTTATCGCTACCTAGTTTGTGCCGATGACTTTTTTACAATCTTCACCCTGTAAAAGGAATGGTTAGTATCTAAAAGCAATTTCTCTTTTCTACTTTGAAAACCGTGTGTAAAGAAACAGGACAAATAGTGAGTTCGATTTTATGGGATGACGGTTCTCTATGACATTTCTATTGATCTGTCTATTATCCCGCTCTATCTACGTAGTTATTGTTGAAATGTTTAAAATAAAATCCTTTTTCCGGTCCGGTTACCCTCCATCAGACAATATTCAACCTATTTCCTGCGTTTGAACTTTTTTATTTTATTATGCTGTAACAACGTCTAAAAGAATCGCTAGATCAAGCGAAACAAATTAATATTTTATATAAATATACCATTATTGAAATTAATATTAATTCCCTGCATATTATAAAAGTTCAAAATTATAAATTGTTAAAATATTATGCATAAATAAAATTTAAAATATTTGATTGATTTCAATGTATTTTAATATTTTCGGACAGTATTTTTTTTTTAATAAAATAATTGAAAATTATTATCTATATTAAACCTCATTACTTACCTACCTATAATTATCGCAACAACAAACATAGTAAGATTATTACATTCGCATTTGTCTCTTTTGTATCTATTATATATGTGCAAGTATATACTTCCTGTATAGGTATACAGCTTTTTAATTAAAACTTTTGATCATCGTATTCGCTGCATTTATATGGAAACAAAAGACATCTGACCTGTTCCATATATTAATGGAATGACATCATACAATCTACTACTACTAGCTCGTTACACTTTCATAACATCTTTAACCTCATAACAACAGCGTCTAATTATTTTAGTGAGATCAGTAAATCTGTGTGCATTTATCGACTGTCAGAAAGAAGCGGTTGCTCATGTATTCAATTGCATTTAATCAAATTTGACAATTATAGAATTTTCCAAATTATATTTTGACGCTTGTATTACAGCTCTTAAATTGCCACTTTCAAGAATTAATCTGCTTGATCGCTTATTATATCAGAGATTGCTCTGAATTTCTTTACCTTTAGGGACATATTTAAAGCTGATTCTCTAAGAAAAAATGTAGAGATAATACCTGTCCGTAGGGGAAAT